TAGCTTACATGACTAATTTGGAGCTGCTCTGAAATAATTTATGACTACTGTATGTTGACCTGGTTACTGGTTTGTTTTCTGTATGAATAGATTTAACTAAACAGAAGATTGTTTGAAAAAACAGGCAGGAAGGGAAAGAATGGTGCAACATTTGGAAGTTAAGGGACAATGCCAGGGCTATTAGCTTTTGCCTCCTCTCTCTAGCTAGCTCACAAAACTGGTTTGAATCAGGACAGATGAAAAGAACTCCTGGCAGGTTTAAAAAAAAAAAAATTCTCTTGAGAGTGTATAGTTGTTTGGGGGACTATGACACAGACACTGCCTGGGGGTTTCTGAAGAAGTTAGTCCAGCCAAAGTTACCATCGGGGGTGGTAAACTTTTGTACAAGATAGATTTGTGTAGTGTTTTCTATTTTAAAATTCTTTTTCTCAAAATTCTTTGTTTCTATTGTTCAACAATACTTGGAATTTAAGAAGGCTGTCTGGTCACTCTTTTCACCACAGGTTACAGGCTCCTGAAGGAAAGAATTGCAGGTGCTGAACCCAGTTGGATTGGCAAAGTAAGCACAGTCAACACATGGGGTACCATAGCCTTGGGCCCCATCTAAGAGTGGGTGAATCGTGTGATTCCACCTGAAATACGTAAAGGCACAAGGCCCAGGGACTGCACTCAGAAAGCAGACAAAGGAGCAGCTAACCCTGGAACCGTGACCGATTACTCATGTGGATAATGTTGGTTAAGTTTGGCATTTGTCTTAACAGTTTCAGATTTATTATTCTAACTTTGTCATCTAGGGAGGAGAAGGCCTGGGTGAAGAGTGAGTTTTGAGGAGAGATTTAGTGAAGAGTGAGGTGGGCTGTCATACTGGAAGAGGGCTGCTGCTCCAGATGTAGGGCAGAGTAGTTGAAGGAATGAAGTCAAGGGGTTTGTGGAAGTGGGAGGGGATAACAGGATCTCATGCATAAATCAGGAGTTTGTAAGATCATAAATCCTTCAGAGAGGGGGCCTTGTTTTCATACCTGTCTCTAAAGTGCTTCACACAGTGGTGTGATACAAGTAAATAGTAATAGGGAGGGAGGACAGAAACTTAGACAAGAGGTGGCACCATGCAGGGCCTCAAATGTGCTTGTTTGGACTTGAAACCAATGGAGGGATTTTTGAGAAGAGAGATGAAAATCAACTTTTAAGTAGAGCCCTACGTGGATACAAATTTTGTATCCACATCCGATCTGCAGACATGGTCCGCGGATATCTGCAGATCTCTGCTTTTAAGTATTTTTCTAATTTTCAAAGTTTGCACTTGTAAATGTCTCTGGTACTGAATTGGCGGTATGGAGTTATTGGTGGGGAACTGAATCAGGGTTGCCTGTGGTTTTGTGGCTCAAGGTTCAGATGGTTTACTAGTGTGTCCATCTGCTGGTGCAAGGTGTGATTTCCCAAAAGAAGTAGTATCATGTTTAAGCCCATACTCCATTTGATGTCTGCCAAAAGACACAGACAACAAGGAAATGTTGCTGTCTAATCTGTCTGCTGGTTGTGTAACCAGGCAGTGCATGACTTATGCCATACTGCCTCACAGTAGAATCTCTTAGAGCAGTTCAGTGTCAAAGCATTCTCCTGCTTGAACTTTGGAGATTTGCTTTGTCATTCTCCTGCTACTTTTCTGTGTTGTTACTTTCATTTTCTGTTTAGTCTCTAGAAATTTCCTTGAATCCTCCATTGGGAGGGCCCAAGCATTTAAAAAAAAAAAGCAAAACCCAACTCTTTGTGTGGAGGGGGGGCTGGCAGGCAGGTAGGGTGACCAGACAGCAAGTGGGAAAAATCAGAGCCTATATAAGAAAAAGACCCAAAAATCAGGACTGTCCCTATGAAATCGGGACATCTGGTCACCCTACAGGCAGGGAGGGAGGGGTTGTGATACCTGGACACACTGGGACAGCAAGTCTGCTTTTCAGCTTGCATCTTGTTCAGTAGGTTTTTTATTAAGTGCTGCAGCAGACTCTGAATTGTTTCCCAGTGGCAAAGCAAGCTGATGAAATATGACACAGGGATGGGAAGAGACTTGGCAGAGGGCCTTGATGCACAAATAGCCCACTACCCTCTGAAGTATGCTTACAGCCAAGCAAACAGAAAACAAAATACTACAGGCTGCTTTCAGAATTGCTGTACAATTTTCCCTCAAGATCTGTCTCTTGTTTCCTTGTTTTTTTCACCTTAGTGCAATGGTTTTATTGCTTGTGTGCTGCACACTTGGGATCAGACATTTTAGGATGTCTGGAGATTTATCTCTGTGTGTTTATGGATGGAGAGGAGGAAGTAGTGCAGTAGTACCATGTCTGGCTACGGTACTATCTTTAACCTTGGGTCAGGGTAATGTGGGGAAGAAATTTCAGTGAAGACTGAAGTCTAGATCATGGTGTTAACCGGTTGAGTGAACAGTAACCTTTTGGCACAGCTCCAGCGTGAGTTATGTAGATCTTGTTCAGTGTATAAGCAACAGGCATCTGATGATGTAAAACCAAGCATTTGTCTTCATTTATTGGCTAATGTGACATGCACCCTTCCTGTAGCATTTGACTGAGCTGGCTGTTTTAAATATAGTCCTATCTTTCCTAAGTAGAAAATGCCTAGAGTGGAATAATGGCTTATAGTATAAAATGCATTGATTGTGTGTCAATGAAAATCTTGCATGGTGGCTATTATGATCAGAGTCTGCTCTGTAAACAGTAATAATAATAAAAAAATCCTTAACCTGTTTGACTGCCTAAAACTACCTATTATGTCCTGCAGGACATTCCTCCAGTGTCACCTGATGCATTGGGTACATTCTCCATGATTTAAACAGGATGCAAGTTAATGCAGCAATGATTGTGGCTAACATGTATTTATACCTAAGCTCTCTATCCCCTCTTCCCCCAGTCCTGATAGCTTCTATAGACATACCTAATTTTCGTATAAGGTAATTACTACTTTTACCTTAAGCAGTTAGCTAGTATTGGGGGGGGCTTGTGTCTAGTGGGCTGTTTCCATTATGAGGGGAGATTGATGATAGGTAACTCTTTGCAACCCTGTTTATTTAAAAAGAGCATCAGAACAGCCATATTGGGTCAGACCAATCGTCCATCTAGCCCAGTATCCTATCTTCCATCAGTGGCCAGTATCAGGTGCTTCTGGCAGTTGGAGGTTTAGGAACACCCAGAGCATGGGGTTGTGTCCCTGACCATTTTGGCTAATAGCCATTCATGGAGTTATCTTCCATGAACTTCGGTAATTCTTCTTTGAACCCAGATATACTTTAGACCTTCAAATGTTCCATGACAACGAGTTCCACAGATTGGTTGTGCATTGTGTGAAGAAGTACTTCCATTTATTTGTTTTAAACCTGCTGTCTATTAACTTCATTGGGTGACCCCTAGTTCTTGTGTTGTGCAAAGGGGTAAATAACAGTTTATCATTCACTTTCTCTACACCATTCATGATTTTACAGACCTCTATCAATCTCTTAGTCATCTCTTTTCTAAGGTGAACGGTTCCGGCCTTTTTAGGCTCTGTCTACACTACCACTTACTTTGGTATAACTGTGTCGCTCAGGGATGTGAATAAGCCACCCCCCTGAGTGACCTAAGCACCGATGTGGACAGTGCTATGTTGGCGCTCGTTGGGAGTGGATTAATTAAATCGACGGGAGAGCTCTCTGTCAGCTTAGAGCAGGTGCAGCTGTGCCACTGTAAGCTCTCTTATGTAGTCATAGCCTCAATCTCTCTTCATATGGAAGCCTTTCCATACTCCTGATCACTTCTGTTGCCCTTTTTTGCACCTTTTTCAATTCTAATATACTTTTTTTTGGTGATGAATGTACACAAACTCCTGCTTCCCTGAACACATCAGAAATCAAACAGGAGGCAGTTTCTTTGCTTGCTGCTCCTAGCCTCTCTTCAGTCACTCTACCCAAAAAGCCCTCTTTGCTTTCTGTCAGGGTCATGCTGCAAGTGCTTCTCTTTCTGTTTCTTTGGCTTTCTGACAAGCTTCTCTTTACCTGTTCTCTGGGTAGTTCTGCTTACAGACCCACACATTCTACACCAAACAATATCCAGCCCCCTTGCATTTGCATTCTGCTCCCAGTGAAACCTCTCTACTTGCATAGGTCAGCTTCTGACAGGCCTTGTATGTGGCCTGTGTTTTTGAGTGGTTGCTCCTATGGACTCGTTTATTTTAATTTAAAGAGGAGCTTAACTGCTTCTTACCTGTATCCCGAATGAGGGGCAGCTGTTACACGCAGCATCTTCAATAAAGCTTCACCCAACCTCCATTGCAACAGTACCTTTTACCCAAGGATCTTGCAGCACTGAAAACTCACAGTGTGCCCGCGAGGTATTATCTCTGTTTTAGATGGGTAAACTGAGAGGTTAAGTGACTTGCCTGAAGCTCACAATAGTGTAGCCTGGAATTGAAGCTAGGAGTTCTGAATCCTCATCCCATCCTTTGTCCTTTCTTTTGAAATTGCTGATCAAATTACTTAATTTCTAAAGTATTCACTATGGCTCTAGAGGCCATAACATTGAATGGTGCTCCAAGATGTGTGTACTGCTGCAGGCTTCTTCCGTCATCTGATCTATTGCATCTTAAGTACACTCTGTCTGAAATAGATTATAAGCACCGTGGAGCTGGGACTGAGTTCAGGACTGAGTATGCTGTCAGCAGTAAATAAATAGGCTCCTTGATTGGAATTCCTGCCATTCTGTGTATAACCATGCATCTTGAAAGCAACAGGGCCTGTATCATAGCGATCCAGCAATTGAGTAATCATGCATGTGATTTTTGTGCTTCATCCATCCCACACAGCCAGAGGATCAGAAGACCTTGTACTCCAAAATTAACCTAACGGAACTAATGCGCTTTAATTTTTTTGTTTAACTTTAAGAGATGGAGTATATAAGCCCTTGAGAGTGACCTGATTCAATTGGTCTGTGCTTAAGGCTGCATTCTGTTTTGCTTTCCAGGAACCTACAAGCAGCCATTGGAGCCTATTATGACTTTGAGAGTCCGAACATCAATGTGCCCTCCATGTCCTTTGTTGAAGATGTTACCATAGGAGAAGGGGAGTCAATCCCTCCTGATACCCAGTTTACAAAAACATGGAGGATACAAAACACAGGTAAATGGGGGTAAATCTTTCCTTTTTCATTGAACTGAGCTGGAAACTTGATTGAAACAAAGATCCACTTGTTTAAAATGATCTTTTGTTCCGCAGTAATAAAGTTATTTCATATCAAGGTGTTTATGAAGGGGGAGGCTTTCAAAGACACAAGGGGCAGCTAAGTGCCCAAATACCATTGAAAGTCAATGGTAGTTAGGTGCCTACCTTTTTGGTGCCTTTGAAAATGTTCACCTTTTTGGACACTGACGTTTGGGCAAAATGGAAGCATGTTATGTTGACAGGTGCTGTAATTTCTGTCTTATCTACCGTAACTCCCCGAGGAAGCTTAGTCTGGAGATGTTGTAATGCCAAGGGCTATATATAGGTTAGAAAGAAAAGAAAGCAAATGTGATGTGATATCTGCTTCCCAGCCCCTTCCTCTTCTCCCTTCCTCACTGTCTTTCCCAGGAGGGTTCTTTTGTGTTGGAGGTAACATGACGGGATAGAACCAGATGGGGTCTATATGGGTTTAGAAGGACCTTACAATCTCTTTTTTTTTTCGGTCCCAGGCTCAATCACTTCAGCAGTTTCCATCCCTCTAAATGGGATTGATATTTTCTGTTGTTCCCTTCGTTAGTACATAGTTTATTGGGTGTATTTACTTTGAGCTCTGTGTAAGAACAGTAGCCTGGTAGCACCATTGTATTTATGGGGATGTTCGTTTTCCTGTTCAGACCTTCTGTTTTGACTGTTGGATATCCTGAACATTTCAAACTCGGAGGACAAGGAATTTGTGATGCAAATTCTCAGTCTGAAAGTAAAACCATGCGACCTAGAAGTGGTCCTAAAATTGTTCAGTTGTTTCTGTTGATGGAATTCTTTATTCTTTTAGTTCTTCTTCTATCCCTATGCTGTATACTTCACTTAGGAAGACGTATTTAATTGGGATGATAGTTGTATTAGAACAACTCTCTAGGAACAGATTTAGCCTTACTATAGTGAATGGAATGAGTGGTGCTCTGGAGCCAGATCGTACACCACCGAAATCAATAGCTTTGCCACAGACTCCAATTGGAGCATGATTAGCCCTTGCATGGGGACAGTGTTATCCAATATTCTGATTCAGACAGATGCACGTGACCAGCTACGGTGTTTCGTGGTCTTTTGAGTTCCCGTCTCTTACTACAGAATTTACTACAGAATTTGCCAAGTAAAGATGAAATCCAAGGGCAGTTATTTTCTTAGGTATTCATTCAGTACGGGATTTCTTATTTTCAAACTTTTCTCTCTCTTAAAAAAGGGTCTTCTAATCAGAATCTCTTCCAGCAAGAGGATGGAAACAGTTTACCTTTAAAAAGGGATATTTTTCAGCAAATTAACTCAGCCCATTTAAAATCAGAATTGTTTTATTTAAACTCCTTGAAACTCATGAGCAGCCAGTATGTTAGAACTGCATTTCATTCGTTTTTTGTGTGTGGTCTGTACACTGTCCCTTCAGTTAAATGTGGGACACTTTATAGAACCCATGAGAGTGTCAAGAAATCAGTGGAGGTGATGCAACTCTGAGAAGAGATGGTGTAAGCTCAGACTAAATTACTCTCATTGCAAGGCTGTGACAGTTGCAATTCTATTAAAACTGTCTGAATTGTGTGAAATTAGGAGCAGAGTAATCTTGTGGCAGTTCCTAGAGGAGAGGATGTGATGCAAGTTTGTGGAGACAACATTCCAGCGTGAGGTGAGCCAAAACAGTCATCTCCGTGTGAGTCTGAAGTGAGGCCAGGCAAAATAAACTCTCAGCGCTTATCTATTGAGATGTAATTACGGGAGGAAAATGAGATCCGTGGTTTCAAAGGGAGATAATACTTTGTCCTCGAGTGCTGCAATGACCAGCTGTCGTATGAGTAGTTAACCTGTGTATCTGAATTTAATTGTCATGCTTTTGCTGCTTCTGTGCAGAATGATAGCATAACAAGGACTAATGTTCTTAATCGCGTGTGAGCAAATTACAGCTGTGTTAAAAATCATAAATGACTCTTCATGCCACAGAACTTGGAGCACTGTATAGTAATATGCTAAACATTATAAAACAAACGTTATTAAAGCCCACCATCCTAAAAACTTAGACTTGGATACAGGACATAAGGGCAAGAAGTGAGGTAAAGAGAGACTCAACACTTTGTAAGCTGGCGATCCTATGAAAAAATATCTATTGCAGAGAGAGGGTTTAGGTGTCATATTGGACTTTCCTGTGTGTATTTGGTGGCTGTTTGAGTAAAATGGAAAGGTGACTGTGGAGCACTTTATTTCTAATGTGCAAAACTATTTGGCAAATCTGTACGTTTACGATGTATATAATATATGGACAGTTAGTGTCAAATATGAGACATTCTTGACAAGTGATGAGGGATAGATCCAGGGGGAACAAGTTTTTCACCTTAGCAACCCCCACAGTAAAGGCACTATAATCTTCTCAGCAGTTGAGGAGGAGTTTCCTAAAAGTCCTGGTCCTATCTAAGCTTCAGAACCTTTCAGGATGAGGCTGGAAAATACTAGCTCCAAATGAAATCCCCATAGGTGAGATCTACTGTTGACTGACAGACTTGTTTCTAGTAACTAAAAACCCTTTGCTTCCCCGTCCTCATTCTCTTGGTTTTTTTCCCTTTGTTTTTATGGTTACGTCATAAAATCCCTCCCACAAGTGACAGATGTGCCTTCATGAAAACGTGGATTCTTCTTCGAGTGCTTGCTCATATCCATTCCAGTTAGGTGTGCGCGCGCCGCGTGCACGATCGTCGGAAGATTTTTGCCCTAGCAACCCCGGTGGGTCGGCTGTGGAGCCCCCTAGAGTGGCGCCGTTATGGCGCTGGATATATACCCCAGCCGACCCAGCGCCCCCTCAGTTCCTTCTTACCGCCCCTGACGGTCGTTGGAACTGTGGAGCGCGGCATAGCTGATCTCCACTCTCCCTAGCTTTCTCATTTTCATTAGTGTAGATAGTTGTATATAGTTGTTATAGTCCTTTAGATAGTTAATTGTTAGTTTTTTGTTTAGTTGTAAATAGTTAGCGGGGGTTTAGGGGGTTGTCTCCCCCCTTTTCCCCCCGGCGCGCAGCCGGGCTCATGCCCAAGGCTCCTGGCTTTAAGCCGTGCGCGTCCTGCGGGAAGCACATGCCAACAAGCGACCCGCATAGCTCCTGCTTGAAGTGCCTTGGGGAGGCCCATCCCGCAGATAAGTGCCCTATCTGCAAGGCCTTCAAGCCGAGGACGAGGAAGGAGCGAGATTTCAGGCTCCGACAGCTCCTGATGGAGGCGGCTCTGAGTCCGGACCCTCCTTCGGTGCGCAGCGTCCCGGCACCGAGCACTTCGGTGCACAGCACCCCGGCACCGAGCGCCTCCGTGCGCAGCGCCCCGGCGGCTCCGACCGGCGCGACGGATAAACCACGGCACCGACCGACGTCGGCACCGCGCCCGCCTCAGGAGCCTCGGCGCCGATCGCTGTCTCCGGGCCACAAGAAGGTCCGCAAGACCCAGGACAAGGCTGCGCCGAAGCCCCCGGCTCCCTCGGTGCCGGGGGTAGAGCCGCGTCCGCCGTTGGACCGCCCACAACAGGCGGCCCCACCGTTGACTCCGGCACCGAGGCCGTCGAGTCCGGTGCGGACTGTTTCCCCACCTAGGTTGGTGGTGGAACCTTGTCTCCCGTCCACCCCGGAGACATTTGCAACGGCACGGGACCTGATTGCCTTCACCGAACCGGGGCCGTCACACCTCCCGGCACCGGCTGCTCCGCGACAGCTGCAGTCCAGGGGCAAGCCTGCCCTGCTGCGCCCGCCGTCTCCAGCCCCAGACTTGCGGCACCGTTCGAGGTCCAGGAGCACGTCCCGACGCCGCTCGGAGTCCCGGCGCCGAATGTCACCTCGGCACCGGTCGTACTCGCGGCACCGATCACCTTCACGACGCCGTTCCAGATCCCGGCACCGTCGTGATGACCGGCACCGCTCCCGGTACCGGGCCTCCTCGAGATCTTCGTCCCGCTCCAGATCGGGCTCTCGGCACCGAAGAGACTACCGGCACCGATCCCGATCTGGATCTCGGCACCGTTTCCCGGCACCGGGCAGGGACAGATCGCCCTACGACCGGCACCGATCGGCACCGTACCATCCGGTGCCGGTGTCGGTGCGCTCGGCACCGCCGTGGCCATCGAGGTCGGCGTCCCGTTCCTCGGAGGCGGAGGCCACCCACCTGGAGGAGACAGCGGAGGACCCTACGCAAGCTCCTGCGCATTGGTCCTTCTGGACACCGTGGGCCTACCACCAGGCGCAAGGCGCCCCTCCTTCTGCGTCCCGCTCGGCACGCTCCGAGCCCAGAGCCCCGGAGGCCACCATCTCCCGCCCCCCACCAGGTGGTATGGAGGCGCCGGTGCCCACTCCGGTGGGGGCCCTGGTCCCAGGGGCTGCTGACGTTCAACAGGAACAACTGGAGCAGGAACCACCCTTGGACCCCTTGCCACCGGGGGGATCTTCCTCCTCCTCCCCCGATGAGGCGGTAGCGGGCACATCCGCCATGGGTCCGCCTCCTATTGACCTGCGAGCGCACCAGGACCTCTTGCGAAGGGTGGCGCGCAATATGGACCTCCAAATTGAGGAGATCGTGGAGGTTCACGACCCCATTGTAAATATCCTGTCAGCGGACGCTCCCTCTCGCGTGGCGCTACCGTTGATCCCGACCATTCAAGCTAATGCCACCACCATCTGGCAGACCCCGGCCTCGATTCCACCCACGGCCAGAGGAGTGGAGCGGAAGTATTTTGTCCCCTCCAAAGACCATGAATATCTGTATACCCATCCTCAGCCGTGCTCACTGGTGGTATCATCGGTGAATGCACGGGAGCGCCATGGCCAGCAGGCCGCTGCGCCCAAGTCGAAGGACGCTAAGCGCTTCGACTTGTTCGGACGCAAGGTCTACTCGGCGGGGGGGCTCCAACTCCGAGCGGCCAACCAGCAGGCGCTCCTGAGCCGCTAC